TTTTTTCCTTTTGCTCCTCTTTAAACAACTACAGATGCCAGCAGCAGCAAGGATTTAGAAGGTTCTGTTCATGACATACAGTTTTGAAATCAAGTGTCTTATTTTTCTTGGATTCATTAGCTTTCCATTTCAAAAACTGTGCGTTGTGAAGCAAAAGAGCATGAAGAAGTCTGTGGTAATACTATTAATTGGCAGGGAAGGGGTAGGGCAAGGCAGGCAAGGGCAGGCTGGAGAAGATAGTGGGAACCATGGGGATTTTAATTTTCACATTCTTCCTTTCACTTTGTTTGCTCAACACCTGCAGAAAGGCTGCAATGCCAAGCACCAAGATTTTTCTCTTTCACCTATAGAAAAAATATTGTAAAAATCTATGTTTGTTTTCTACCAGTTAGAAAAATGGAAACCCTTCCAAAGTGGGGAACAGAACAGTTTTCTCTAACACAAGTTCACATGCTAGGAATTGAAATACGCAGTTTTTTCCTTCTTACTAGTTACAGCCTCACATCTCACAACTAGTGTGCCTACTACCACCTACTAGTGGCAGTGAGTGGATATTGACATATCAAGGTATTTTTTGCCCAGAGCAAAGTTACAGCCGACTGACAGAAAACTGCCACAGGCTCATACTCTCTCTGATGGTGCAGGCAGAGCTTTGCCCGTTGTTTTGTTCTGGCCTTCTGCAGACTTGGAGCTGTGGTGCCCTCCAGCTGTACCCAGCTGTGTGTGGTCAGGGGTCCCAGAGTGGTCCCTCAGCCCACCACTGTCAGTGGAGGGTTCAGGTGAGGAACTGATGGCTTGGAGCCCCTGCTCTCCAGGGACACAAGACCTGACTTCTCACACAAGAGGGCATCTGCAATACCTCAGCTGGATGCTTTATAAGCAATTTTTTTGCACCCCAGCCTTAGCCCCTTGATGAAAGCACTGAATCAAGAGTTTCATGCTCTTACTAAGTTAATCCCGTTCACGGAAAAAAAATTAATGCTGTGTATAGCAGAGATTTTTCTGTGCCTTTTGATGTGATCCTACTTGGATTGCAAAGTCTTGCCTGATGCAGGCTAAGGTGTTTGTGCTTTGGCTCTGTCTGGTATTGGAGGTCATAAAATGCTGGAAAGTCTTTGCCAGCAAGCTCTTTTAGGAACATGAATTGCCTGTGCTCATCTTGCAAGTACTGTTTTTACTTGGGGGTCTGCAGATGGCAGGGGCACTTTGCCTGGGCCAGCACTGCCCCTGAACTTCTCATGAGCCCTGGTCTTCTCCAGGCCACGTAAGGTTTCACATGTGGATTTTGGTTTTTTCCCTGTGGTTTTTCGTTTCAAAGCAGAGCAGATGAGACCCAGCAGGGGAACAGCAGAGTAGGGCATATATCAAACCTCAGTCCTTGGGGGCAGCAACACCGTGGAATCTGCTACAGAACAGGAATATGGTGCTGGTGGTTTTAAAGTCGTGCTCTCTTCATCATTATGGCAGGCAGTCATATGAGCAGAGCATTTCATAGGGCAAGTCATCCACTGTTTGCATGGAGGAATTTAATTCTTCCCCAGCCTGTATAGTCTCATGCTATACATGCCTATGCTTGCATCTGCCCTCCTGGCTTTTGTCACTGCTCACAGAGTGAGGACATCATGGTGGGACATGAGAGGAAAGGTCTTGCCATAGTAGCAAGGTATGTATATAATATCAGAGAGTACATTTAGTACTGATGTCATCATCAGATTGCAGTACCTTTGCTGTGTTTGCTAATACACACACACCTGAGTTCTCTGATAAATCTCATTTGCTCAGTGCAGAGATAATTTAACTCTATTTTGTTGCCTTATGCACTTAAGTATAGCATTGCACATCTGTCACACACTGCCTCTCTTGTAAAGAAAAGATTGAGTGTCTCAGAAGTACATTTTCTCTTGTAGATTTACACACAGGTGGTCCCTTTATGATGTATCGTGCCTACTTGTAATCCTGACATGCAGTCAGTGAAAGATCACCGAAGAATGAAGAGGTCATTCCTGTAGCAAATGCTGCAGGAGCACACACTCTGGTTTCCAGATGTCACATACAGCCAGTGTAGGGTGCACAGCGCTCAGGATTACTGTGCTGATGTTTTGGGTGGCCAAATGGCTGTGTGTTTTGTTGTGGTTTTTTTTTTTTTTTTTTTTTTTTTTTTTGTTTTGTTTTTATTTCATCTTTGTTTTGCAGAGATTCATTTGAATGCTGACAAAAGTGCCTGGAGACATGGAAATGTTCTTCAGACAAATGCTGTAAGAAGTGTAGTGTTCAAATAAGCTGTAGCATGCAGACTTGCAAATGCTTTTGCTGGCTCTCTTCCAGAAGGATACAGCAGTTATCATATTCCTGGGAACTATACCCTCTTTGTTTTCCTATGTTGCTTGAAGAAGGAGTAATTTTTACTACAATTGCAGTGTGTTTTAATAATGACATCTGTATGCTGAAACTGCTTTTTGCCCTGCTTCTGTTTGGAACTCTTAAGATAACGTTTGATTACAGAGGAAAGCTGCTGTAATGGAAGAAATGGAAAATTCAGCATTTTATGTGACTCTCAAACACCGTGTTGCAATTTTGATAATAATCCAAAAGAAGGCCACCAAAGGTAATTTTCTTAGGCTGGAGAAAACAAGCTAAAACAGGGCGTATAAAGAACTGGGATTGTACAGGTGACGCAAAAGAAACTTGAGAAGTGATCTTAATTCTATGTACAATTATCCTGAGGGATGGGAGAGAAATGCTGGTTATTGCAGGGCTTTTTAATCTAATGAGCAAGGCTCAGAATAGCCATGGTTGAAGATTAACAAAGGTCAAAAATAAAATTAGAGACCAGGCATACTTTTTGAACAATGTTTACTGATGATACATATCTTGGGTGTGCAACTCAAGGAAGAGATCAGTTAACTGATTATTGATGATTATTGACCAAAGAGGTCTGGGGTCTTTCTGGCGGACAGGCCTCAGGTAAGCAGATGTGAATGGCATTAAATGGTCACTTCCTTTGATCTGTCTGCTCACCTGAACTTCTTTTTTGGCCCTGTGAACCAGGGATATCTGCAATGCAAATTGATGCCTTATGGTCTTCTATACCTCTTCTTCAATATTAAAAAGAAGGAGTTGTAGTCCATAGAAAATTGAAGTCATCTAATGAGGAGATCAGAACACTGTCCTCTGTATTAGTGCAAACAGTTAATTAAACTTTCCAATAATATTACAAAGAACAACCTTCATTTTCTTCCTTAAAGACATGGGCAAACAGAAAGGAGACCTTAAGTCCTACAGGATCAGTCCCAGCTAGAGTTCACTGATTCTAAATGGAGACTACACTGTAGTCATACAGATACCCAATCTGTAGGTGTCATACAGATACACCTTCAGTACTGAACTACAAGTTTCCCAGGCTGGCACAAGTTGCCTGCCTGCAATTTATCAGGTTGATAGAGGCTTAGGAATACATCGACTTTAAGAAGCTGAGGTTGCCCTCCAAGTTTAAGGCTGCGTTTTTGATGTACTATAGAGACTTCCTTCTATCTTTTTTGAGACTTACAGCAAAGAGAGCACTTGGCAGCCTGAAGAGGACAGATTACTGCCCATCCAATCTATGAGTTCTCCTGTATTAAACCTGTTTGGTTTAATATCATAAATAGTGACTGCCACAAACTGGGACTGCTTTTCTCCTGTGGGAAGGAGGAAATGTTTTGCATAATTGAAATACTTTGTAGTAGAGAAGGAGAGTTCAAAATTCATTTCAAGGTCACATGTACCCGAAGTATACAGCGTCCTCTGCTTGAAATGACGCCTTTTCAAAACAAGCATGTCAAGGTTATTTCAGTTCTGATCACCATGCTCAGACTCACAATAATCAAAGCCTGTTATCTGGATCCCTGCAATAACATGACTCACCAGCTAATGATGACAGTGTCTAACACATGCTTCAGCTGTTGCTTTTTAAGATATGGAAATCAGGAACTTCCAGTACAACCTAATCTTCAACATTTCTTTTCCCATTTCTGTTAATACATCTGCAAAATAATTCTTAAAATATAGTCTCTTCTGACAATGACAAGAAGTGGGAGACATCTCTCGGTTATTATATACTAGTTTCTTGTAACACAAAGTTGCCCAAGGGCCCCTAAGATACAGCAAGAGGGCTGAACATGCCTGATGAAATGATTGCTGTGTCCACAACCAAGAACAAAGCATGATCATTAAAAAACAAAAAAAAAGGAAAAATAAAAGTAACATATAAAGGTTTTTGCCTAGTTTTTGCTTGTTTGCAGAAAAACAATGTTTCCTATGGATAAAGGAAAGAGAAATGCAAGTTTCCTGAATTTTGTTCAATGTTTTCAGATTGTGTTCTTATCCTCTCCTGTTCATAGCCTGCTTCCCACAGCCCTCTGGTTCTGAGTGCTGGTGGGTACCTTAAAACGTCCTCAGACTTGGTAGGTGCTGCGTGTGTCGGAGGGGCCAGCTGGCCCCCAGGCGGGTTGCTGCTGACGTGGTTTGTGTGTTTGGGCTGGGTGCAGGACGGTGAGCAGGCCATGGGCTGCGGGGTTTGTTTCTTCTGGCCTCAGCTGTCTAAAATTTGGCTGCCTGAAACTAAGAAAATGCTGCGATCTTTCTCTACCATTAACAGAGAGCAGTATGCACCCCCAGATATCTGAGATGCCTGTCTTGGGGTGGCATGATTTGCTTTCTGGGCATGCCTCTTCTTATCCACTGACCGTGAAGGGAACGTGGGGGGCTGACAAGTTTCAGCAACTAACTTTTAGGTGGCTGAACTGTGGAATATAGTGATCTAACTAGAACACCTCAATAAAAGGTAATACTCAAGAAAATTGTATGAGCAGTTGCAAGGTAAGAGATCCCTGAGTTCATGTCAGAGCTTTTCAGCTGATTTGCTGGATGATCCAGTAGTAGCAGTGGTGGTGCTGGTGGCATCCTTCTGCTGGAGAACACCAATCTGATTGTGCTGTTTTTTTCTTCTCCACCCCTAAAAGGTCGCCACTGTGAGGTCCATCAGATGACTGGAAACTACATGTGGGACCAGAAGGCAAATGTATCTTTTGATATTGGTGTGAATAAAGAAAGCCTGATGCCTCTCTGGTGGAATGGATCTGAGCCTTTGTGGGTCACAATGATGAAAGCTAAAAAGAACGTTTCCATGTACTATTGGCCAGGTAAGTATGTGAAAAATTGCTACCACCTTAACAGTGCATCCTTACATCTGAGCACTCCATATTGTGTAGGAATGGCTCTCTAACACAGTTCTGGAATACAGACAAGAATGTTGAGTGCTTTGCTAACCACTCATAGAAATGAATTATCTTTCCTTAGGTCATGATAATTTGCATATGCTTGCAAAGGAAAAGACTGAGGTGTCACTGGAAGCAGCTTTCCACCAAATGTTACCTTTAGGAGGGCACTGGCTTGTAGAGCATCCCCTCCTCCACCAGCTGCTCGTTCCTCTTGCCCACCTGTAGTTTCTGCTGTGTTGAATGGTTGCTTTATGAATGGTTCATGGTCCAATCAAAGTTAAACAGTAACCAATGTCCCACAATGCTTGTTTGGGTTTAATCTGGAAATTAGAGATGTATAAAAATTAGTCCTTTTTAACAAAAAGAAGTATCTCCTTAGACTATCCATTTAGGGACTCACATGGAAATAAATGTTCCAGCTCTGCAACCAGACCAAATGCCTTGCAAAGTACCAAGATTCTCAACTTTTTTACCTTTTAACTCTACTACTTACACTAATCAGTATGCAGATATCCTCATTATGAGCAAGTGCAGGCTAGAGGACCACGGAGCTGTTAGATGAGCTGTCCTGGATACAGCCAGTGCCAGTAGGGCAGAGGCAGCTGACCCACACGGTGGGCTCCCGGACTGCTCCTCTCTGCATCCCAGTGCACATGTGCCTGGCCACAGTCTTTCCATGCAATGTGGCTAATGGTGTGCCAGAATAAAAAAGTCCACAGTTCCAAGGAATGGGAAGAAAGAGCAAACCAAGATGGAAAACACTGAAAAGCCATCCAGAGTGTTTCTATAGTAGTGAAGAGCAAAAAGACCTGAGGGTGACAATATTGCCTTATGGACTCAGAGGCAGTCAAGGTGGTTTGGATCAGCCCTGAAAAAAATGCTGCTTCTTACTGAAGATCACTCAAGTGACCTAACAGCAATGCAACTAACAGTTATACAAGAATGTAGGAATTCCTCTAAAAATTTACAAAAGACTGCTTTCTATAGACTATTCATTTTTACCCACTAATATAATTGCTCTCAATAGGTATAATTATGTACTGAATAGATGTAACAGCCTACAGAGAGCTGCTGAAATAAAAAACCCAACAGTATCACTTCCCATTAAATGCCTTTGGACTTTACCTAGCTCCTACACTTTGAGCAGTGTTTCCTGGGGAGAAGACATATGAGGTGTATATGTGTGTATCCTTGTACACACATGTATACACTTCACTCTTCTCTGCCTGCTATTTCCAGTCAAAAATTGCAACGAACAACAGAGCCTCCCTTTTCCCAGTGCTTACACTGCCAAGTGCAATGCATTGACTCTTATGACACAGAGGGAGAATTTTTTGTGGATCTGTGGACCTTGACATGTACATCTGTCCCTCCTTAATTATTTGTCTGTGACGACTGACCTTTGGCAAAGCCATCAGTGCCTCAGTTCAGCAAATGCTTAAGCACTTGCTTATTTTGAGGGTATCCATGGTCTCAAAGGACACATATGCCATACAGGGTCAGGCACAGGGCAGGAAGTGGGGTGAAATGTAGAACTATTGAACTAAAACTCCAGGTGTATCTATGGTAAACAGGAGTCACTCCAAAAGCAGTAGTATTTATTACATTTTCCCTATACAATTTTTTAAACTGTTTTCTAGTTCCACAGTAAGGAATAAAAATTTATAAAAATTCTAGATCTATCATTTTAAAACCTTAATTCTTAACAAGACATTTGAATTGGAAGCAATACCAAACAAAATGAAAATAATAAAATAAAAAAAGATTTAATAACCAAGGTGAGTAGAGGTCTCACAGACATTTGCACTGCATATAATCTGCTGTTAGTGGCTAGCTTTCCAACCCGAGGATATACTTCTGCTTACAAATATGATAAAGATCCAAACAGGAAAAGTCTCTGAAACTCTTCATAAGAACAGCAGTATAGAGTCAAATTCAACACTCTTTGTTCTGGAAGATGCTATTTTCTCTTTAGCCAGCATTGAAGACAAATGAGATCAATCAGCCATAGCAGAAATGCATTGGAAATGCTAGAGAGCTGATTCCCAGGATTAAGTTACACCACTGCCATTTCCTCCTCAGGGCCAGTTCCAAGCTTTGCAAAGTCTGAATGCAAAATCTGATGCTTCATATTCTTCCCTACGTTCCTCTCTCATGTTTAGTCAGTGCTTAAAGAAGTAAAATCCATACCCCAGCAAACAGGAACACAGAGCAGGAGGGCTGTTGGATGCACATGACCATCCATCATGGTTTTATCCATGAGCCCAACATAAACCCAGCAAAGACAACTCACGGGCAGAATTCATCTGGGATCTCCTGATGCTAGAAGCAGAATGAGGCAAAATATCACCGCGCCAGGGTCCCAAACACCAATTCTGACAAAATACAAGACCTTGTAGGGACATTTTTCTCCTTTCTTGGCAACCTACACGGGGTGAAGTTCTCAGCCTCACGCCCAGGTTGCCTGTCTGAAGCACTGCTGCTCCAGCGGATGGAGAATGCCCAGAGGAGTACACTTTGAAGTGGTCCTCAGCCCAGTGGATTGTGTCACCACAGGTGCTCAAATTCCTTCATCTTTCAGCAGCCTGTGCTAACTGAGTATGCGGCTGCTTCAGCTGAAGCACAGTGACATCTTCTCTAAACACTGAAATGAAAGAAAGAGGGAAAAAAGGCTCTGGACTCAACTTTTACCATTTAAACACAACATTTACCAGACCATACAGCTCATCTGGAAAGTTTTCAAAACTTGTTATGACATGAAGTGTCCAACTCTTAAATAAATATTTAGAAATGCAATTTAAAGCTGGCAAGGTTCGGGTCTCCATGTCAGATAGATAAAGAGGAGCCTATATATCACTCTGAAAGAAGTCCTTATTCTTGTTCCAGTAGTTCAGATTTTTAAATAAAGGTTTTGTGTCATACAAAACTGTGAAATAAAGGTATCTAACATCTTCATAAATATAGCTTAACTATTTGTAGTTTAAACAAGAAAAAACTTAACATTCCCTTTGTCTGGCTCCAAATCTGTTCTTATTTCCTTTCCCATAATATTTAAATGAGAAAATTTACCATCTGTCCTGGCCTCTACCAGAATGAAATCTAAATATGAAAGGGTCTTCATGGCCAGTGTTTTGCAACTGTAACAAGCCTTAACATCAAAAATCCAAATTTAAGTTCTGTTCATCATAGAGGCTAAAAAGAAAAAGGAGAGCTCTTGATATCTAAGCAGCCTGAATTTTCAGTGGTACTGCCAATGAACTGCACACTTGAAGATCAATATTTAGTGGCCAAAATTATTTCTAATTGTTGCTACGTCTGCAGTCTTTTATGTCATGCTCATCACTTGACAACCTAGAAATAGCAAAGATATCTCAACAGCTAAAATATCCCAGATCCCCAAGAGGGTAATGCTTCCAGTTAAAATTATCTTGTGAGTAGTTCTGAGGGATGTTATGTAAGAAAATTACCATCTGATGTCAGTATCTGAAGAAGAAAAAAGAGGCAAAGTGGTGGTATTAGTCACTGGCTATGAGCAGTCATACACCTGAACGAAAATACTGTGTGCTCCCAACATCTTTCCTAGTGCATCCTTAATTTCTTGCCTGGCTTTAGAGCCAATCTTTTCCCAGACTCAAGTGTCAGACAAGAAATTGGCTCCAAAGATCCAGTTAAGTCCTGAAATACTAGCAAGGCCCACAGAGGACTACTGCATCGCTTTTAGCATCTGATTTAGCTGTAAGCCCATGTTTTGCTGCTGGAAGCACCCAAGACATCCTGCAAAGGACTGAAGCTCCCTGCACTCAGGGCAGGGGGCTTCCTGGATATGACATCAGGAAATTCATGGAATACATTTTTTTATGATTTGGTTAGGTGACAGCTGGGACCTGTCTCTGCTGCACAACATAATTTCTTGAGGGTGCTGTGTGCAGATGTATAGAAGTTTTACTGTGGGATGGTCTAGAGAGTCAGTTCTTGTCAAGTAATCTGCAGGCTCTTCAAACAGGTTGCAGATTCATGGTGGATTGTGGTGGAGAGATAAACAATACAGTATCTTCATGTAGAAAGGGGAGGATTAAATCACATATGTTTGGGGCAATAGGGGAAGAACGAAAAGTGAGCGTCATCATACAATCTGACAATTTTAATAGAAATAAAATTTAGATAGAGGTTTAAGATCATGCAGATGTGTTTTTACAGGAAAATAAATTATTTACCTACATTTCATGTTTATTATTGCAAATAATTAATCATAATAGATGGAGTCCCTTAAAACTCACAGACTATGTGGAGACATGGGAGTTGTTGCCACAGGTGAAGAAACTGAACCTCCCATGTGTGCTAGATCTCTACCTTTTGGAAAGGGTAATTTCCATCTGATTTGTCTGGCTTTCTGCAAATCAGTGAAGATTTTTAAAAAAACTTCCTAAGCTTAAATATTTAAGTTTTTCTAATCTTCCACGGTACTCCTAAACAGTCACAATCAGAAGTCTCTCAGCCAGCTTAGCCTGCAAGTGGTGTGCCTTTTCCTTGTGTCCCGGTACTGGACACAAGCGATGTAAACTCATGTGGGCTGAGGTGCAAGACACTGAAAAGCTCTTTTTGTTGAGCATCCCAGTAAGCAAACCGCTGTAAATCATCTCTCATAGTAGTTCTGCTTACTCTAGTGCCCTTTCTGTACTCAAACCTCCTGTGCAACCTTCTCCCACCTCAAGCAATGAGTCACCTTATGATAGTCCTTAATGCCTATTCCTTTCATCCCAAAGAGAAGCAGAGGAGCCCAGTTGTAGACACATTTGGGCTTTGGTTTAGAGTTACCTTTTTTGACCTGACTATGTTGCTGTATACAGAGGCCATATTGCAAAAGATCTCTTTTTTTATTTTCTTCCTTGTGCCCAAGGAATACACCAGAAAATGCCTAACAGTGATTGGAGGACTCGGGAGCTCTGGAATAATAATTTACCCGAATCCAGCGTTTCTGAAAGGACACTTCTTTTAAATATTAATGTTATTCTGCAGCATTGTAACTGGAGAGCAAAAGGGCAAAGGAACCTCACAAAAAACATGTTTTTCTATGTTCAAGACCACGTTCTCCTGTAGGATTTGTTGCTGTAAGGTTTTAGGCCTCAAAACAGACTGTATTTTGCAAGGAAGGCTGCAAGTTACCAAGAGAGTTAATTGGTTTATGCTGTTTTAATAAGACCTCTCGGGAAACAGATTTAATAGTAGAGTGCCAGTATCACATAATAAAATATGGTTTATAAAGGATATTACAACATAAGATACAGCGTGTCTAACTGGAAAGTATTTGCTGAATTTTCAGGGAACAATGTCTAAATCTATTATGTTGGAAGCCTGGAAATGAGGCTATGTGACCACAGTAGTTAAAATGAAAACAAGCTAGCAATTTAGATGGAAACAGTCTGCCACAAGGGAATCAAGAGTTTTATTGTGGGAAGGTCACACAGAGACCTTCCTTTTACAGAGGGAAATTAAAGGATCCAATGTACAGTTTGCTACAAGCACTCATCAGACCAGCCTCTCTCCCCTTTTCCCTTCCCAACCACTGAGTTTCCTGCAGGGAGGGTGTAAGGTAAGTAATCTCAGAGGGAATTTATAAACCTGAACTGGGACCCCTTGGTATGGTGATCAAGGTGAAACAGCAGAGCTTACCACATTTTTTGTTCATAGGTTGTGAGGTCGAAATCCTTGGAGTCAGACCAAGTTACTGCCGTGAATACTTCAGTGTCCCAACAGACAAAAACTTTGCAGATGCCATCATCGATGCCCTCGAGTCCTTGTGGTATGTCACTAGGTTTTTGCAGCGTGGGGTTTCCTCTCTCAAGGACGAGTATTTGGGCTTACCATCTGGGATATTTTCAGGATTGGCTCCCAGGTAGGGAGATGGTGCTGAGGCTGCTTTACAGTACTGTCACAGAAACACCACCATCACCACAGAAGTAGGTCCTTACATTAAGATTGGAGGGAAAGATGTGCTCTTTTCCTGTTCAGGTTACAACAAAGAGGAGACATCCTGACTTACTACTTTTAGTTTGTTGTTTCAAACAAAAACTCAGGATGAGTCCCTTCAGTGACCTGCAAGAGTAGACTGCAATGCTTGGATTTAGAGAGAGAATTTGGAAATTCTGAAATTCAGCTTCGGTCACTTGTTTACAAGACAAGTGCTTTGGCTTCTTCTGCATTTTAGAACATCACAGGCAAAATATTTTTGGAGTGGGCATTCATTTTGTGTAAATATGAAGATAGAACAGAGTGGAATAGAATAGTTCAGTTGGATAGGGCCTACAACAACCATCTAGCCCAGCTGACAGGCACGTATATCTCAGACAACTCCTAGAAAAAATGTATGCACCACACCCAGCTTTCAAGTTCCACCATCTCTCATCCACACATTAACAAGGGACAATTCCATATAGGCTGTAAAATTGCACCACCACATGCAGAGCCAATGCCTTACCTTAGCTATAACTAGGCTTCCTCTCTGAAAACCTTGTTGGTTCCATAATTTATCCAATCCTAAGAAACATTTCTATTTTACTACTTGTGAACTGCCATAGCAATTTGAATCTGAAAAGTTTTGTATTCAGATGCTGAGTGTTGATTGCTTTTGAATTAAAGTCTCCAAAATTATGAGAGTGCTGCTGGAGGTGTTGCTCCGAGTTGCACACTGAATCCTGCTGCTCAGGAATCACGGTGTTGTTTGCATCATGGGGCTTAGACAGAAACTGTCTGAGACCACATGAGATGTTTTATCATGAAATTATTTGGCTTAAATTTACAGAAAGTTATCTGCATGTGATATGAGGAGGTCATATGTGACATAGGAGGCTTTCTGGAGCTTCTGCAATGCTTTTAATTTAGCGAATAAAAAAAGGAATGGAAAACTGAATACAGACATCAGCTCTGACTTACCCAGAATTACTGTAGAAAGCTTTTTGGTCTGGTATCATTTGGGGATGGGCCAAGATACGCTTGACTCTCTGCCTGGTTTCTGTGCAGCACAGTGCATAAGGCCGTTCAGGGTGGTTTGCAGCTCTGTAATTGTGAACGTGGTTAAAACAAGGCACAAACTGCTAAAAGATCCAGCCCTTCGAGGTGTTCTTTTGGGTAGCTGGTTCCCATTGAAAATGTCTCAATAGCTAATTCACCCTAAGCTACAAGGCTGCCCACTGCTATCATCTTTGGTGGAAAAGAAGAAAAGGGCAGGAACTCAGCAGTGTCAGTGGGACAACCGGCAAGAGATGAAAACTCTTCAAGAGAAGAGCTAAGCCCTGCCATGATGCCTGCCATTAATACCAGCTAAAGCCTGCTGAAGTGCCCAAAACCTACGGATCATCCCAGAGCTGCATGAGGTCCTGTCCATTTACGCACCATCCCTCTTGAATTTCTGCCCAAGTTCATTCTCTTTAAACTATGTACCTTGTCTCCAGCAAGACAGGAAAGAGCAAAAACTGATAATCAGCTCTGGGTATAAATACTGCAGGGACTTAAAATAAGAAAGGAGAATAGAGAATGAATAGATCAAAAATTGGGTAGGTTTCCTTATTCTTTCTTTCATTCATCCTCTTTGTTTATTCCTTTAAGATTTAGGGAAAAAAAGTTCTGTGCTGCTGGGCCAGCCCATAAGAAGTAAAGCCTCTGAAATGCCTTCACCATAGCTAGATTCATTTAGCAGGAATTAACATGTCTGATAGTAGAGTCCTGAGCTTGTCATTTACATCTTTTGCAAGTGCTTTTGACTCTTGAAGCTGTTCAAAGGCTGGCAAATCCAGTGTGTTTCCTTTCCACACACCAGCTAATTGGAAAAGCCCATTAGGCTGAGACTGGCATTAGCAGTATGTGGGAAAACAGCCTGTGGCAAGGGCAGTGTGTTGCCTATAGCAGTGCCTTGCTCAGTTGCCCCTGGTGGGGCAGGTATTAGTAGTTAATGAACTGTACTTAGGCTCCCACCATTAGCAAACCTTACAGAAACTCCAGGGTAGAGAGAGTAAGCCCTTTAATGTGACTTGGCAACCTCGGGGTTACCTTGGGTTTGAGCACAGGAGTTCTGACCCATCTTCACTTCACTGAAGTTGAAAGTTTTATCAATCCCCTCTGTGGGGACAGAAATACCTATAATTCATCAGGGAGCCACTGAGCTCCTCTTGCAATCAAATATTCAGGAATATTCAGGAATATTCTCTAGTCTCTTCAAACAGGTGCTTTAAGACAACTATTCAGACTAAAAATATTCAAAACTAAGTCAAGCATCTGTTTTTGGCAAGTGAAACTAAAACCTTCCCTGTGTCTTTTCCACAGCTATAACTTAAGGGCTGTTGTAATCTACCTACCTTCCTGGACAGGTGTCATGAAGTTTGCACAGTACTGGCAAAGTGTGCTGGTAAAATACAAATCCCTTTTTGGTATTGCCATTGATGCCATCCAACTTTCTTCATCAAGCTTTCCTTAATTGTTTACTTGGAAAGTTACTGGTGACAGAAGAAGAGAGGATGAGCACATAGATTATTTCTCCAGTGCAAGCCATGATCAGAGATGCCTAGTTTTCTTAGAAGAACATGCAAAAATGGAAACAAAGCTGAACTCAATCTTGGAAGCTCTGAATGTGCTGTACCAAGTCCTGTAAACTCCTAAGCATGCTGCCTAACTGGAGCTTGTCCCATTGAAGTAGTTGAGTATTCTTCCTTACAGCACTGAGCCCTCACCGAGAAACCTCACCACAGCCTAAATGAGATCACTTGTTTTATGCCATAAATCTCCTTCTTGGTTTCTATCTGGATCAAAATGATCATTACAGATGAGAAGACGTAAAGTAGTCTAAGTAGCTCATTAATATAGGCACTGCAGCAGAAGAAAACTATTTCAGTAGGTTCAATGAGTGTGTATGCAAAAGAGAAATTACAGGGTTACATTTTAGAAATAATTTATGCCTAATACAGATGGAAAGTAAGCTTAAAATCAAAGTGGGGAGAGGGAAGGGCTGCTTCATTTGAATTATTTAAAAATCTGTAAGGATAAGAAACAATACTATTCTGCAGGGCCAGCAGTGCATAGTAGAGACCTTCAGCTTCTTACAGGACTGCTCCTCTGAGGCCTTCCTCAAACTGAAAAATGCAAATTACAGACCCTAATTCAGTCAGTCAGTCCCTCACCTCTGATTTTTCCTCTTCTCTCTTGCTCATTACACCAGACTACCCAGTTGTCTTTAATCAGAGAAGCTGGACCTGTCAGGACATCACACAAAGTCTTTTTGTAGGGATCTTGGTCTGGAGGAGAGCACATATTATGGATGGCACACTCTGTCATATATTAGGTACAGGAGAAAAAGACTGGGTTTGAACTTCATGAGCATAGGTTTGTGATTTTATCCACCCAACTGTTCTCAGGAAGGTTTATAGTGAACTGTAAAGTGGTCATGAAAATGTAATTAAGCACTGATATATGTGCCATCCCCCTAATTAGGCTGAGGACATTCAGTGCAGAAATCAGAAAGAGCTAAACTTGTGCAATGCTGAGATTACCTCTGAGATTACCTTTGTTTCTCTTTGGTCATATTCCTGAATAAAACCCCCATCTAAAATTTAATCCCAATTCATAGTGCTCAATATTTTGCAAGAAAGAGCACATCCTGAATTGACCTCCGTGGTTTGGAAGACCTCACACAGGAGAAAGCCAGAAGTGCCAAACTTTAATTAAAGTATGTTTGTCTGGTAATTCCCACAATCCTTTTAATAAGGACACTGAGCACACAAATCAGTATTTCTTTGTCATTAAAGGGAAAGCTGCCTTCTTAATTCAAAGAGGTTAGTGGAGGGCTGCCAGGCCAGCCTGTGCTTGCACATGGCAGTCTCTACTGCCACCTCTGAGAGGAGTCTCAGGCAAACTCAGGAGAATCTGGGTGTGAATAATGAGCCCAGCAGTGCTGCAGTGGGTAGGACAGCACAGGCTGGAAGCAGAAAACGGGGTTTTGTGGTTCTATGTGCTGGTGAAGACAATAATGCCAGCAGCCAGGAGGTCTCCATGTGTGCCAGCCTCTCACTCCTTGCCCTCCCTCCCACCTGCAGCAATGGCAGCGCAGAGATGGCCGCAGTGTACTACGAGCGCATTGACGTGGAAGGCCACCACTACGGCCCTGCGTCCCAGCAGAGGAAGGACGCTTTGAAGGAGGTGGACAAAGCCTTGAGCAACATGATCTCACTCATCAAGGTGAGTGGCACCCAAAACCCCAGCTCCTGGGTGCCCTTTGGAAAGGTTTTTAAAACTGCTCCTTGTGGCACTACCAAGAGCCTACTTAACACCTCTCAGTGAATGCACTGGCTGTAAACTTTTACTTCATGAGAAACAGGTTACTGAGATCATGTGAAAGTCAAGGCACCATTCCCCTAATTATTATTTCCATTGATAACGTTATAACCCTCCTAGTGGATTTACACCAATAGCCCCAGCAAGCCACTAACCGATACACAGTTCATGGCTGGTGTTGCCAGCTGAACTTTACTGTAGGCTAACAGATCAAAACCTTGTGCTTCCTAAGGTTTGTGGAATCAGACAATTAACTTATATAGCAGTTTTTATGGCACTATTCAGAACTCTTTACTTTAAACTCAGTGTTAAAAAAAACATCATCTAAATGATTTTTCAGCGAGAAAAGGAGGCTTTTGGGTAAATGGCAATTCTGTGAATATTTCTGTCAGTGATAAATGCATGTTGGGGGTTTTTTAAGTGTTTCAGTGAGGAAAGGAATATGGATCTCCAATTTCACTAAATTATAAAAGCTCTAATGCTAAGTGCTTACGCTTTCGAGGGGAAGAGAGAAACACCCCTGCCACAAGTAGTATCATGGCAAAGTTACTCTTCCCCATCTGTTTTGGCCAACAGATTAAGAACAGTTCAGTAAAATCCTGTCTAAGACCAATTGGGACAACTGGTTTACCAGTCTGGGATGTAGCATCCAGTTATTTAGCGTGGGGGTGGATTTATTTTGGAAAATCTGTCTTTGGTGCTAACCTCTCAGACTCTTCCAAAGCAGCGAGAGTGGGTGTCCACCATTTCAGGTGGTACCAAAGCACATTGAAGGGCATTTGAGGATGTGCTCCTTCTGCCAATCTCCACTAAATCAGTGGAGGTCAGATGGGAATTTAAATTTTCCAGTGGGCATGGAGTGCAGAGCTCTTACCAGCCATAACTGCTGTCATGCACTTGCTTTACAGAGCAAAGGCCTTCAGAATGAAGTCAATGTCCTCCTCTTCTCTGACCACGGGATGACAGACATCTCCTGGGCAGACAAAGTGATTGAGCTGAACAAATATATCAACATGAGCGATACCATACAAATGAAGGACCGAGGTCCTGTTGTGAGCCTCTGGCCGGTTCCGGAGAAGCACGCAGAGGTAAGTACAGCTTGGTCGTACTAGGCTTTGTGTTTCCTCAGGTTTTTTTGCCAGTTGTGACTTCTGTCTTCTCATAACATCCAAATCTGGCTCTCAGAGATGTGTGTAAAAATCAGCCTGAGGCTCTTACCAGGAATCAGACTTGGATCCTGTGACACTTTTGTGCCACTGGTTTCCGAATGAAGGTCACACCAGGAAAATTAAAAAGCATGAACTTTCATCGTCGTGTGGCAAGGACATGTGCTTTCAAACCCCACCACTACGTGCTTTTGATAAATAGCTAAAAGATTTTAGCTCAAAATCCATTTTTAGGATTTTATATATACGTTAGTCAATGTATTGACACCCTAGCTGTGATTTTCAAATGATCTGGCATTTATACTCCAGTAAACTCCCATAGAGTTTGAGTAATTAACTCCATCAAACCAGAATCGCAAAAAAAATTTTTTTAATAATATTTTCCTTTGAAGAATTTTTGGTGAAGCATGTTGGGTTGAATTAACCATAGAAGTCCAAGGTTAGAACTGCAGGATTTTGAGGGATGAATTAAAACAATAGAGAAAAAAAATTGGAAATTATTTGAAAAGACTGAAAATACAGTATATGTAACTAACAGGCTAGTACATTATAGTCTAACCAGAAACCAGTGCATGAGAAGTCATCACTGCTGTCCTCAGAATATAGATGTATGAATGTACAAAATAGGCAGGCCGTGCCCCAGGTGAATAATCTTGTTTTCTATATTATATTTTAACCAGTTCCAGCGTATTGTAGATTTTGAATTTTTTTTAAAGAGAATATTTGCTAATTTTTGCACACTTTCTCTCCAGGAAGAGACTGTGGTATTGTGAACATTTCAAATTAGTGCCAGGACTGGAAGTTGTCTTAGAGGCATGCATAAGCAATTCACTCAAAGTGAATCACAGGGGTTCACAACATGGATATGTGCTCTCCTTGGTCTTAACCCAGAGCTCTTAATTTTTGTAGGCCAGACCTTCAAACAAGGGCAAGTTACAACTTCACATAGACACGGGGTTTCATTTGACAAAGCTTTTAAGCACAGGCTTCTCTCTTATTAAACAGCCTAATACCTCTAAGGAGAATAAAGTACAATGCCTCTACACTGTGGTTTTGTTTTCTTCCTTCCTTTCTTTCTAGGACTTCTTATTGGACTACTGCTTTTTAAGTGAGATCAAGCTGGTTTCCAGTTTCCCAACAGCTAGATTCATCTGTTCTTAATTCACTTCAAAGAGCTATGTTTAGGAATTAAGAGTGTATCATAACATACTGATTATCACCTTTAAGAATTATCCCATTTTGAAGAAGTACTGGTGAAACACCAGGACCACCCTAGTCCTGGCCATGGGATGGTCTGGCTGGATTGTGCCATCACACCCTGGTGATGTCCTTATGGTCACTGCATATCAATGCACATCTCTGGCACACACAGGCACACAAGGGTGACTTAACTAAAAGGCTAGTGAAGAACCTTTCATTCTTTGCAGAATTGAGCTAGTTATTAATGAAAATTATTTATATTTAAGCAAAAGAACAATATAGAGTCTGAGGACTCCAATAATGGCCTTTTTTATGGCATACGAGTATCTCCTTCAGGCATTTAAAGTACTTTTTCTGAACAATTTGGCGTTTAACAACACTTGTGTGATTATATTCAAGACATTATGATTAATATTAATAAACCACTTGCATGGCATTGTGCAGATTCAAAGCTGCAGGCATTGGCTAATTAACCTCACGGTATCCTTATGAAGCAAATAACTAAACACTACCAATCCCTTTGCTAGGGATTGACTGGTTAAGTGCAAGAAGCAAAAGGTGAGGTGATATTAATTCTTCACTCCAGCGCACAAAGAGAGGATGAGTGGCAGAGGATAAAGAAAATATTCCTTTTCCACATCTTTACTCAATCCACATGGTGCCTTTGAGCATCTTTCACCACTTTGCTTTCACCACTGTCTCCTGTGAAGGTGTGGCTTCTCCTGGTCTGTTTCTGTAGGCTGGTATACTTACATGCACACATCTGTGTGTGTATCATAAATATAAATAATACATGACTTCATGCAGTGCTATGTGTTTCTGATCCAAGCTTTCAGAGTCTCCTAAACCACATAAGTAGTTTTTTTCCAGCCATCACCTTTGGACGGGCAGAGTCCTAATCTGAATGTGCTGATGGTTAGCCATTAAAGGGGATTAGCCCTTTTGCAAATTCAGGTGTTTCAATGAACCCATTGGTGCGTATATGTTCTTTACAGACATATAATGTCCTAACATTTGTTTTCTTTGCAGATATATCAGAAATTAAAAGCTGTGGAACACATGGATGTTTATAACATACAGGATATTCCAAACAGGTTTTTCTACAAAAAGGAAAATTTGTGTCTCCACTAACTCTTGTGGCTGAGGAAGGATGGTTCATAGTAGAGGTAAAGTATAGAAGCAAAGTACTTTGACATGAATGTGAAAAGGTGCAAGATATGAAAACAGAAAATTGTACATTTGTGCTGATTATTAAGTTAAAGTCAATGGTCTGACTGCAGAACTACTGCTTAAGGGGGCTTAAAGGTATTGCAGCTATCCTGAAAGTAGACAGTTAAATAGTCAAGACATTTTTTTTCTCTGTTGTCATAACACAGGAGTAGTTCTTGTATTTCACATTCTAGTTCTGTTGCTTCACTCTTCTTCCCCTGCCATCTACCTTAATTTCAGAAACAAAAAGAGTGTTTCCGTTTCAAGTCCTTACTATCCCTCCATTCAGCACTACCTGTAGCAGCTTTTCATTCTGCCTGGCTTCCCACCCACCAGACTAAAAAAACCCCATTTCTCCCAAGACCTCCAGTCTCAAAAGGGTCAGACTGAGGGTTTCCTCCTCAGAGAAGCCCTGTCCACACACTGAAGATCTGAGAACTTCTTAAGCAGAGAATCCACACGTGAAGAGGTTTTTCACAGTAACTTATTTTCTTACTACAATTCAATGTTGTTGTTATTTTGTACTTGTATCACTACTGGGCATCCCCACACTATAAATACTAACTGCAGCTCAGCACTGCTCAGAGGGTGAGGCAAACTACATATCTTCTAAGTAGGTAAACCAAGGAGTGTTTCTAAGCGATTTGCCCAAAGCCATACATGAGTTCAGTAAGCTGGCAACAGAACCAAGGAGTCCTGGGTTTTTTTAATGTCCCGACACAGTCATTGCACATTGTTGCCTTGCAGATTACTGGAACTCAGCTAAGCATCTTCTTTCATGACTTTCAGAGGTACTGCTCACCCAGCTTTGCTCAGGACATTTTCTTTTCTCAGGACAAACCACCACGTTTCTTACTAGGCAACCTGAATTTAGGATAATAATTTCTACAGCTGAATAAAAATGCACCTCTGAAAAAACCCAATGGCATTTGAGTACAGATGGGTGAGCAACACATTTCTGGTTAAAAAAAAAATATATATATATATATAAAAAGCCAGAGTTAAGATTTAGACATGTAAAGTAGGAATCTGAAACAATTTTGCCAAAATGATTTAAAAAAAATCACAACTAAACTCTTTGGTACAAAAGTTCAAAACAGAACATTTTTACATATTCTGTAGAAAATATAAAAAGCACTTAAAAAAATCATTGAAGCTCTGACAAACCTTAATAACAGTGCAGAAAACACTGCTGCTATGGTAATTATTTCTGTCTCTCTGCCCATTCCTTCCCATTGTTTCTGATTTTCAAGAATGTCCTCTCATTAATACAGTCAGATTTGCCTTCTCTTCAGTACATTTTCATTATCCATGAATGGGATATGAAAATGAAAGTTTCCTGTCATATTTTTAAAGCAATAATTGAGCCTTCTGTTATACTTCCTGCCCAAACCACTAAAGAGAGGATGTTCAGCTCTTCCCTGTCATGCTCAAGGGGTGTTTTAACTCTCTGTTGGTTAGTGGATAGCTATAAGCTGTTTGAAAAGAAGATTTTTTGTGTTGCTGTTGTTGTTTTTTGAAAGACATAAAGAGGATGTATCTGAAAAATTGCTTTTTTCCCCCAGCAGGAAGCTGGGGATTTATATCTTCTTATACCTTCTAGTAGGTAAACTAGAACTAAAGCCCATGCACATTTCAGTTAAAGCAGGATGAGGAGGGATTTCACACACCTCTGGCTGAGCCTTGTTCCCTCCACATGAGTGAGTGGTCCCCATTCTTTGACCAGAATTTTCCCCAGAGGAATTAATGTCAAGGGTCTGATGAACATCTAAGTAAAATTCCTGCCATAGTTTTGGGGCTATCTGGAATGCCACATCTGCTGCCATCCCTAAGGACCACGGGACAGGAGAAACTTGTGGACAGGGTTGGTCCAGCATTTTAATCAGCCCCTAGGGACTGCTCCTCTGACAGGTATGACACCACTGTAGCTAGTCTGGTAAGAGCTGTTAGTATGAAGCAGGAGAAAGTAAGGAAGGAATTTATAAGTACTACTTAAGTGCAATAAGGGCAATGAAGAACAAGATTTATAATGACAAATTAATAAAGCATGGATCCACTGAGCAAGGAAATAAAAGAGTGGTCTAGGCCAGGGAGAGAGGGACTGTCTTAGGTCAGAGCCACTGTTCCCTGAAACAAACCTGATTTCTTCAATACTAAAACAAGTGGGAGAAGAAATAATAATTAGAAAATATATAGTGGTGGTGATACTTGTATTGTTTAGGCTGACTAGTCAAGTGGAGCAAAAATGGCTTATTTTTCTAAGGTGCCAATGGCATATGGGGCAGAACAACACACCAAGAAATCCACAGCATGGTGCTGGGTGGGAGAGTGGCACTGCTAACACGAGTGGGGAGAGGGACACCAGCTTGCTTACACGTGTCACATACAGCTGTGGTACTTTGGGCTCATGGTAGAAATTTACATGAGTTGTCCTCCCCTCTCAGCACGGAGATGGCTACTCATGTCGACAGCTACTCACTGAGGCAGCTAAACCTCCCTCCTGGGGATGGGCTCCTGTGCAGCCAACAGCATGGGATGGGTCCTGATGGGGTGGTTCAGCACATGGAGACACAGCATGGGATCCCCCAGCACGGCATCCCCCAGCACAGCTTGGTAAGCAGGCACTAACCACGCTCTGCTGTTGTCACCCAGAGCAGGGACAAGCTGCCCTTCTGGGAAAATGGGACGGGGAAGAAGGAGGCCTGGCAGAATGGCTGGCACGGCTACGACAACGAGCTCATGGACATGAGGGGCTTCTTCCTCGCATATGGACCAGGTACAATGCCACCATCCCTGGTGTTCCACTTCCCCTGCAGCCCCATGGTCCCTGCCCCTGCAGCCCCTGGCACGTCAGGACCCTGATGTGGCACTCTGCGACGCCTAAAAATTACAAATAGATGGCAGGATTTCCTCACTACAGAAGAATTCTAGCTCTGTTTAATAGCTGGAGAAACAGGGCAGAGAGACGTGAAGGGATTTATTCAGCCTCTCTCTGATGTCCCAGCACAATAACTCTATCCCTTTGCTCCTTTTTCCTAAATTTTGGCCTAAATTTTTAATTCCACTTGAAACACACAAATTCTTCTTTTGTTGGTGGATTTGGACTCAATAATGCAGAGCACTTTATTTGGGAAGGCTGCAGCATACTTTATCCACCTGTCTGATGAGCAGACACAAACCCACTGATTTCCACTTCATCTGGACCTTTAAATGCCGCAAAGCACCAGGGTGTAATCACAGACAGGAGTGTAAACAAAGCAGAATGTGCAATATAGTTATGTCAGGTTATTTAATCTACCAAGCATACCCAGTAAAGTAACTCCTGTACTTAAAAATTTGGGGTTTTTTTGGTTTTCGGAATAAAATTGGACTACAAGTAAAAGTAATGAACAAAAATGTTTAAAATGTTTTTGCTGAGCTATGTTACTGTATAGCTATAAACTGTATAGTGTGCCACATCCCAGTCGGTTGGGGAAGTCCCAGGAAAGGCACAGGAGCCCTTGCCCTGCAGTGTCCCATATTTCAAGCACTGAGCCATAAGCTGTATGATGTCAACTCCTCTCTTCTGCCTGCAGATTTCCGATCCAACTACCGAGCACCTCCCATCAGATCCGTGGATGTTTACAACATCATGTGCAGCCTGGCAGGAATACAGCCACTGCCCAACAATGGCTCCTGGTCCAGGGTGGAGTGCATGCTCCGAAACACAGCCCCCTTGGCACCACTCCCCCCGTGCAGCAGCTGTGCCCTGGCACTAGCTGTGCTCTCCCTGTTCGCCAAGCAGATCTCCTTACTGTGATCCCTGAACAATGTTGGTCAGTGTCACCAGCAACTCCATTTTTCTCTGTTTTTTTTTAAAAGTTCTTCATTTGAATAATAGCTTCATTAATAGAGTGTTGTCCCCCACTCCTCCACTGTGCTCCACCAGGCGTGAATCTGACCCATTCTGCATTTACAGTGGTTGTAACATGAACATGTTCCAAACAACAACATGCTCCAAACACAGCCAGGGAAGTTGATGTTGTTTCTCTAGATGTACAGCTCTGGCAATGAGAGCAGAATCCTGGCTGGCTATCCACAATATTTGCTGGTGGGTGCTCGTGGGGATCTCTGAGCATCAAGCACATCTCACACAGCGTCTTTCTCTGAGGCGCTCACCCTGGCTCCTGGTACTGAGAAGCTCAGGAGTGGAGACAGACCTCTCTGCATTTAACTGCGTTCTTCCTGCCTTACTTCTTCATCTCCAGCTCCATCACCAGCAGAGCCCCATGTTCTTACAGTGCCAGCCAAGCCCTGTCTATACTGACCCATTCTTCAAAGAGCCAAGAACTTTGCTGAGTCACCATAATGCTAAGAGAGGTGGGTTGGCACAAGAGCAGTGAGATCCTACTTCTCTCAGCCTTTCCTTCTTCATTATCCCCAGCATGAGTCCTGGCCCTGCATGTTTCCAGGACCTGGCTTACCTCATGGACCACAGCGGTGGGGAGGGCTGAGAAAGGGGAGAGCAAGAGAAATCCTCCACTTCAAAACCAGTGGGAAAATGAAGAGGCATCTGGACACAAAGGGTCAGGAGAAAGTAGGATGAAGAAGCCTTGAATTTAACAGCTTCTTTGCTTTTCCTGGTGAAGATAATATCATCTGCTCAGCTTTTGGTGTTTTGTACTCAATTGTGTTTCTGAAGTTTTGTGAAACTTCCTGTTTTTCTACCAGCTCTTGCTCTCTACACCTCTGCCAGGGGACCAGCACATTCCTCTTTATTCTGATGCAGGGAAAAGAGGTCTACACTGAGAGATCTCCCACCCTCCCAGTTAATCCTAGTGATTATTTCCACCACATACTATCAAGCATAAACAAAGTTATAACAGTAATGGCCAGTCTTCGCGAGCGAAGATCCGGGGAAGGTCTTTACACCTTCCAGCCTGCGCATTGGATTTTTTAGGTGAGACACAGTGTGCGCGGAACTGAGCCCACCCTTTAATCCTAAGGTTCATCTGCCGGGGCCAAGCGAGCTTGGACGGTGGCAGCGAGGTCCTTAGGACGTAGGTGGGTTGCCTTTAAGGGCTAACGAGCCCCACCTGCCCGGGAGTGGCCCTGACCGGGAATCAAACCCGGGTCTCCGCGGTGATAGCGCGGCGCCTTTACCACTAGACCACCAGGGGCTCCAAAGTTATAACAGTAAAGTTAGATTAAGTAGCAGGAGAGGATAGAGCTGTTGCCAGAGGTGCCTTTGTAAGTGCCCAGTGCTTTATCTGATATACCTCTGGACAGGGAACTTTCAGCAACAAACTGCCTTTGGAAGGATTTAGGTCCCTCCCCATTCAAAACAAACCTCTAGGACTTACTACTCTTATGGATCCAGAGTAAGGCATGATCCAGGTATGTGTGGTACAGCACATTTAAGGTGAATGATTGCACCATGGAAAAAAAAAACAAGCACCAAATTAAACTTCACAAAGACTTCTGTACTAGCTGTAAAGATTTATGTAATGTGTTTTTAAAGCTCAAGTGAACCATCAAATCAATTGGGAAAAAAAAAGGGAGAAAACCAGTCTTTGTTATTATAATGGCCAGTCTTCGCGAGCGAAGATCCGGGGAAGGTCTTTACACCTTCCAGCCTGCGCATTGGATTTTTTTTAGGTGAGACACAGTGTGCGCGGAACTGAGCCCACCCTTTAATCCTAAGGTTCATCTGCCGGGGCCAAGCGAGCTTGGACGGTGGCAGTGAGGTCCTCAGGACGTAGGTGGGTTGCCTTTAAGGGCTAACGAGCCCCACCTGCCCGGGAGTGGCCCTGACCGGGAATCGAACCCGGGTCTCCGCGGTGACAGCGCGGCGCCTTTACCCCCTAGACCACCAGGGGCTCCCTTTTGTTATTAGACTGTTGAGTATAAAAGACAGTTTAGTGCTTTCAAAACATTTGCAGTAGCTGTAAAACAAGCACCTATTGTTCAGAGTTCCCTGTTGCTCTTTAATGGACCATGCTCAATGAAATCACTGGAGCACATTTTTAAAGTAAAAAAAAAGAAAAAAAATATCTATACCAGCATGCAAGATAACCAAATTACCAAGTTTTGTTTGAAAATCAACAGGATAGATGCCATCAGTGCCTAATCCCTCCATAGCCTGCCATTTTAACTCTTCGCAGTGAACAGAACCCAAGATCTTCTTACAGAGAAGGAAAGTTTCTAAAGGTATAGGGGTATATTCAGCTTCTCAGTTATACAAGCAGAAATTGGAAATAACAAACTGGGTCCACTGAGTTGTTCCACAGATGGGCCATGAAGCATGAAACCAACACTGATCTTGTGAGTACTTTGTGTAACTCATTTTGCTCAGTGTCCACATGCAAGTACTGAGGAGTAAATCTTCTTTTTGCATAATTGCAATATGATTTGTTTGACCTTAATGCAAGCATTGTGCGTACGGTAAAAGATACTTGGTCTGCAAAAGGGAAATTGATAGGAGACCTTCAAGAAGATCATTAGCTCTGGGAGAACCACAGCTCATTATTTTTTGAAAAGTGCATCTTTCTTCCTCAGAAATGTTGTACCTCTGAATCAGTTCACATTCTCATTCAAAAATCAAGTGTCTTATCTCTCACCTATTTTTCTGTATACTATGCAATGGAAGTGGGTGTATTTTAAAACATATTTCTGAATGATGTTTTTATACAGTGACTGATTGTGAATGAGTGAATAATCCTAAGAATGGTGTTTGGAAAAAAATGCATCTTTTTGTAAATATTGTAAGATTTTTGAAAAAAACAACAACAACCAACCAACAACCCAAAACCTGCCCCATAACATCTTGCCTTTCTTGTCTTTGCTGCATCAAAGTGTGATAAACAGTGTTTGAAACTTGTGCTGATTAATTATCAGAAAGATGAATGTAAACATTGTTTAGAAATGGCAAAGTTGTCAGCATGTAAATTAGGGACATTAAATACATCACATAAGATACTGTAGCTTGTATATGCAATCCTTTTTTCCAGATCTACTTCAGTGTTTAATCTTTTGAACATCCCTCCAGGGACATGTAATTCACACTAGCCCATGGACATGACAAAACATTTTGCTCTGCTGAGAAGAGAGGTGAGCCTTGGATGCTCTCTCCAGGCCCACTTCTCCAAGCCCACTGTGTTACCATCACATCAGCTGCTTGCACAGAAATCAAGTGCATTGTCACTGGTTCAGGCTTTCCAGAGCCCCCAGTTCCCAGGGGTAGATGGTGCAAATGGCAATAAGATCTCAAAAACCAACACTATGGGTCTCAAGGACAAGGGGACCTACTCACCCTTTAAGCTTGACAAACCAACAATGTTCAGTAAAGAGACTAATAAGTCTCCAAACCTATTCAGTGGAATTTGTCTTGTTTTCCTTACGCTAACTGACCACAGGGGAAGGGAGTAGATGCTGAGGAGAATCAATTCAGGTATGCCAATGAATCCTTTAATTCACAGCAGGAATCTCTTCAAATCAGCAGCGCTGCAAAGTCTGCCAGAGATGCTCCCCTCGTGTTCCATGAGCGTGGGTCCTGCGAGCTGGAGGGTGCTGAGGGATTGCCTGCACAGACACAGCGTGGGAATCAGCCTCAGTCAGCTCCCTGTAACAGTGCCAAAAATGGCAATTTCACACCTAAATAAGCTAAGCCTTTCTACCAGTGAGCTTGGTGGCCATGTAAATGGCATAGCCAGCCACGGCCCAGCGGATGAGCCCTCCAGCATCCCTCAGGATGCAGCCCACATTGTCTGCACAGACTGCAGCCTCATGGAGACTTTCCTGCTGGCCCAGACACCGGCCTGAGCCCTCCATAATTATGGGGACTTCACAACTAAGGGGTGAATGAAAAGATGTTGTGGTGCTGGTTACCTCCTCCTAACAGGTAAGTCAAAACATCTGTCAGATGTTAAACCCCACACCTCAGGGGGAGATACGGGCCAAATGAGCTCTGGGCAGGAACTGAAGGAACTGAAAGGCTTTGGAAAAGCCCCTTTTGTAACATTTCCCTGCTTCCTTTTCCCTGTGGGGCTGTGGAGAGAGGGCAGGCAGCAGCAAATCCAACAGGAATTTTAAAAGAAAACATGGCCTAATGAAGGGAAAAATTTTAAACCTTCCATTTTAGCATAAGGAGGCTTTAATGGCTATTCTGAAAGCCAACTTTCACCTACATGGAAAAACATTTTCTCTTCAGGTATTAAAACACATTTAAGTTAAGGGAAGGTTATTGGGGAGTTCCCAAAAATAAGAACATTTCAGAGTTACAGTTGAAGGGGCAGTGTAATTCTCAATCTTTATAGAGATGTTTACAGCTCTATGGATTATTCTGATAACATTTCAAATACATGGAAGTTGCTGTGGACTTGTAAACCAGTATGATGGTATCCCAAATCTGGCAGATCTGTATCAATGACACCCAGTTCCACTCTGCCAGGCCAATTTCATCTGGAAACCACCATGAGCTGCCAGCAGGCCTGTCCTGGTTTCTCCCTACCCCAGCCAGGCATCTGCCCAAAGGTTGCCCAGGATTCAGGGAATTCTTTGCTGCAGCCGCACCACTGCAACGAGGCCACTGCTGCTGCCCTGGCTGGCCAGAACTTGCTACCTGCGGGGTCTGAAGATACACTCCGGGGTGGAAGACACCCACCAGCAGCAGCCCTGGAACACCTGTATGTGCTCCATCGACTCAGCGGGCTAGGGACAGGTGGCAGTGGGCAGGGGGAAAGGCCTGACAGGCGCTGGGAGTGGACATCATGGAGCCACAGAGTGGGTCAGGTTGGAAGGGACCACAGTGGGTCATGTGGTCCAACCTCCCCGCTCAAGCAGGGTCATCCGAAAGCACGTGGCACAGGATTGTGTCCAGATCTTGAGTATTTCCAGTGAGGGAGACTCCACAACCTCTCTGGGCAGCCTGTTGCAGTGCTTGGTCCCCTGCACAGTAAAGAAGTTCCTCCTCATGTTCAGGTGGAACTTCCTATCCATCAGTTTCTGCCCACTGCCCCTCGGCCTATTACTTGGCACCACCAAGAAGAGCCTGAATCCATCCTCTCGACATCTTCCCTTCAGATACTTATAGACACTGATGAGGTGTCCTCTTAGTCATCTCTTCTCGAGGCTGAACAGGCTCAGCTCCCTCAGCCTTTCCGTGTAAGAGAGATGCTCCAGTCCCTTGACCAACTTTGTTGCCTTACACTGGACCTGCCCCTGGAGCTCTATGTGTCTCTCGTACTGAGGATCCCAGAACTGGACACTGATCTCCTCACACGCTGCTTTTACGGCCTCTCTCGCCCTCTGCAGGGCGAAGGCTGCGAGGGTGCAGCCCGGTGAGGGCGAAGGGCTGTGCCCGAGCACGGCGGAGCAGCCCCGGGCGGCCCCTCCCGGCAAACAGTGGCTTTGGGATAAAAGGAATCCTTACCTTTAACAAGGATAGGAAGGATCGGGACTTTTCCTTCACTTTGTGTGTATCTCATCGCAGCTTTTCCTCTTTCTCCCCTCTGCCTCTCTGTGTTGCCCTTTGCTCTATGGCCGATTCCTCCTGGTGCAGTGCCCCAAACCCACTGCCTCCATGTAGCAACCTGAGTGAACCTCCCGCCTGCTCCTGCCCCGGTTTCCACAGGAGCATGAGCAGGCTCACCTGTACACGTGGCCCTTAATGACCCGTGAGAGGAATTACCTGCATCTGCTCCCCACTGTCAGGACTTAGGCTGCACCTCGAGCTGCCGATGTTGTCATTAAAGCCTGATCTCACCAATGGGAAACAAAATACGTACAAAAAAGCAGGGAGTAGAGGGCAGCACGGGTGAGTGATGTAGCTCCTCCTTCGTTACTCGTGATCACTTGCAGCTTGGCACAAGGTTGAATGCAGCATCCTCAGGTCAGGTGTCCCAGCAGTGCCTCAATGAGGACTCTGAGCCTTTGTCAACACCGGGAAATTGAATAAAGCAGTCACAGGCAGCAAGGAAAAGGTGAGGAGGGATGAGGAGAGTGGGCTGAGATGGGGAAGATGCAGTGCCCCCTTCCACACCAGTACAGATCAGGGCTTAGCTAGGCTTTGGAGAGCTCATTTTGTTCCTCCCTTAGTCGCAGCAAATGAGACATTTTAATATCAGGATTGTAGTAGTCTTCAGGGGCAAGGGGCACCAGTGCATGCACAGGAGTTGTTCCTGTGTCCCTCATCAGAAGTTGCAGGCAGCCAGCCCCAAAATGTCAGCATCCTTTGCTGGAACCATGTGGGCATCACCCACATGACCAATTTTCTGTGGCTGCAGGAGTGGGCACTGACAGCTCTTGAGCAGCCTTCTGTTCTCAAGAAATTAATAATGCGCTAAAACACTACTCAGCACTTATATATTGTTTGGTGAATATTAACTAAGCCTCAAAATTGGCTGGAGACACTGGAATTGCTTCCTTGCCAGATAGAAAAAGGGAGGCTGAGGTGGCACTAGCCATTGCAAAGGCTGCAAAGTGCAGGCAGGACTCACAGGGGATCATCCACAAACCCTGTCGAACACTGAGCCGACCTGCTGCTCACACTGGGCTTCCTCCATGTGAGGGCTCCTGGCCATGTAAATGTATACAGCTGAGCCACGTGTCCATAACAGGCAGTTTTAGCCTTTGTTCAGTGGTCCCACGTGCTGCTCATACTAAGTCACTAGAACAACCAGTACATTTGCCTTCACTGTTATGTGCTCCCCTATTCAGGTCAGTTTTACCCCTGCAGGCCAGGACTCAGGAGGACCTGTTTCTGATTTCTGAGAGGTGCCTCCCACCCTCTACATGATCCCTGGGCAGAAGGAGGCTCTGACAAATTCAAAATTAATTTTTTGAAAATGCTTATGTGCCTGACTATGTAACCATCCATCCATCCATCCGTCCGTCTGTAAATCTCACTCTCCCTTAGTACTCTTTCCATGTCCTCCATACTGGTGGAGCTTTGGGGTGCAAGATTTTGTTTCTGTGTTTGCCAGAGTAGGCAGCAAGGTGGTTTTCAGCTCATTAATTGTCCATGAGCATCCAGTGGGTGGCAGCAGGGTAACCCACGTGGGGTAGGAGAGGCATAACCCCGTTGAACACATCCCACACCTCGCACATGTCCCAGCTGAGAAGATGCTGTAAAAGTGAGGAAAAGCACCCCTTGTCCAGCCATGGAGGGCTTCCCCAAGCACGGATAGAACACGGAAATAATTCTAGGCTTAAAACTAAGAGTTTAAAGCAGCATTCCCATAGCAGTTGTGAAAGAGAACAAAAAAAACCCAAAATCAAACCCTTAATGTCTTTTAAGGTGGAGTTCAAGCAGTTTAAGAGCTGGACTGTACAACCTGCTTGCTTACACTACTGCAGGGACTGGGTGGGATGACCTGGAACATCCTCTCCGGGCCTATTCTCAACTGTTTCCTTACATGAACAATTTTGGGAAAGAAAAATAACTATTTTCCTCCCTCTAAACAGAATAAACTTGAGAGAGCCCTGAGCTTTCTTTTTGTTTCTTACCTTTTTCTGCAAGAACAAATGGGATGAACAAACCCAAGTCCCACTGACAAGACGATATTTAATACCCATGATGTGGGGAGCTTTCCAGCAAAAGACAGACTATGTTTTATACAGAAATAGCTGAATGCAGCCTGAAAAGGCCTAGCAATTAATCACGCACTTGAAGAAATACAACACACTCACAGAGGCTGAATTTTAAATGCTTGCTGCTCCAGTTTGGACAGTGACAAATTAAGACACACACAAAAGCAGGTGTGGCTCTTGGAAGAAGCCCTCTGAGGGCAATTAAAAACGGGAAACCAGCTGGTAAGTGTGCAGATGTGACAGCTAGAGCAGCTTAGGAAATGAATACAGAGTGGGAGGATGGAGGAATTAATGGTGTAAGAGGTGAGGCGACTGAAACACAACCTGCTCTCTGAAGGGGGTTGCTCCATGGCAGGTGAAGTGCCTTGTCATGTGGGATGGGCTAAGCAGTGAC